AGCCCAGCTGCGCTGTGGTTGGGAACACCAGAGCCCGGTGACCATGAGGACAGGGTGGAAGACCCTTCACAGGACTATGTGCTGGTCAACGAAGACCCAGACTCCGAAGATGACTGGCATGATGTGGTCGATCCGACCAGTTGTGATTGGCCAGAGGTCAGCCAGAACTGGGATGAGGAGAACACCACGGATGGTCTCCAAGGGGATCGAAAGGAAGCAAATGATGCCTTCAACCAGAAAGCACTGGATGCAGTGAAGAGCTTCCTTTTCCACTACAACAACCAAAAGCTGAGGCAGCAGAGGAAGACCCTAGCACCCATCCCAGAAGTCGAGACTCCGTTGCCGACAGCAGTCAGGGAAGACTGCTTGGGCGGTGGATCCCCAAGGATCAACCTTGCCGAGATGGTCTTCCCGCCCGCCTGGGAAGCTATGACGTCCAGGGGAAAAGATCCGAGGAGCTACGCAAGGCCCAAAAGAGCTGTCAGCAAAGACACTAGGGATGAAGATGCCCCCATGGCAGAGCCGCCTGCAAGAGACAGCGGGGAAAGCCCCGCCAAGGCGCCAAAGGTCGAGGAGACGAGGGATCAAGCCATGACGGGGGGGACCCCACCACCGACTGGCCCAGCCAGATCAAGCCCGACCGCTCCGGTCGAGACACCTTTCTTCTCCTCAGAAGAAGTTGACTGGGGAGATCAGGAGGACGATCGAACTCCAGAGGAGTTTCAACAGGACATGGATCTCCTGAAAGAGATTGGTGATCGCATGGAAGCATACCTGAGGGCGCCTGCAGAGGTCAAAGCAAAGATGAGGGTTTCATCCTGGCAACGATGTACCGAGTACCTGAAGTCCCTGCAGCTGCGAGCGGACGAGGCTCCTCCGCCCACCAAGCCAGGCAAGTTCGCAGCCGACATCCGGATGGGTTTCTCGCCGGAAGAGGCGAGGATCCGACAGAAGTCGCGGCAAAGGGCGGCCAGGCATCACCAACAGCTCGCACGAATGGAGGGTTGCACACCAGCTGATATGCCGAGGTCTTGGGATCATCCAAGACCCCCCACTTTGGAACCCGGCTATCTTGCGAGAAAGGAGGCCGAGAGGGCGCAGAGAAGAGCCCAGCGCACCGCTGACTTGAGGACCAACCCCCAAGATAGTGCAGCGGCTGCTCCAGCCGATGATCCAAGCCACCCTCAGAACCAAGATGAATGGCGATGGAATCGGCAGAGCTACGACAGCCACCAGCAATGGCAGGGATCGAGCTGGGCTGAGGAGCAGTGGAGAAACTGGCGATCCGCCGGATACGGCCAAGAGTGGAACCAGCAGTGGCACCAACAGAACTGGCAGCCAGGCTGGAAAACTGGAGGCTGGCAGCAGTGGCGGTAAAGCCCTGAGTGAGCGGTTGCCGGAAGCTCCTTCCGGAATTCATTTGAAGTGACCTCAAGACCAGAACAGAGTCCTGGGGTCGCAACATGCAACTCCCAAGGGGGGAATGACGGGCGAAGCCCTGTCAGACCTCTGGGCTGTGGTACT